AGAACCGTTAACGGAGTCTCCTACTGATTAGTGAAATACACCGAGTACCAAGGCCACTTTCTACTGAATATGATTCGATCTTTTCTTTGCCTGCCATCAGTCTGAATAGCAGTCTGAATCATCAGGCCGAATAGCAGTTTTTGCTGTGCGGTATTGTAAATGTGGATTGTGTAGAAACTTGAGTTAAATGTGTCTTGACTCTGGAATATAAACTAAAATTTGTTATAATAACTGAATTCTTACTATCAGCTTCCTTGCTTGTCCTTTGTCTTTCTTGCTTGCGAAATGGAGCGCACAGTACAGAGAGGAAAAAAATAGTAATTCTTCGAATTAGCGTAACTCAAAGTCACACCTGCACAGTGAATTATAAAGTAATGAGGTTGATTTCCATAAGCCGCTGAGACTCAGTGTCTTAAAGCAGGTTCATGGAGGATGGTGTTCAGACATCATGGAGGACCTTAGAGAGGATTAGTGTCGATTTCCTCATTTATCAGCTCAGGAGACGAAGATTCAAGGAGTTAATATGTAGATAATAATAGTAAAACACTGGGGTTGTCAGGTTGCTGTTGTACATTTTCAGGGATGAAATGACAGGTATGAGAAATGAAAGGAATCTTAGAAAGTTTCTAGTTGGAGATAGTAAAAAGGAAGAGATTGAAGAGGTAGGCTTGAAGAAAGGATTTCTGTATTTTAAATAGGTATCTAGTTTTCATACTACCACAATGTTTATGAAAAATTGAGACTATCACAGCGAATACTTGGAAAACAATGGTAAAGTCCACTGGTTATGAAACTCAGTGCATTTTATATTTTGTGAATAAAATTAACTTCATTTCTGCAAAAGGGTAGTATGTTTCAAAGCACGGGTACATGTTTGGAGAAAGGACAGGTAGTCTTCCCACCTTTCTAACACCTGTTGCATTCAGACAGGTTGGTAACTAGTTTCTGGAAGGGGTAGTACATATCAGGAAATCTTTTTAAGTGTTTCAGGTTTCTCTTAAGGCAACATTCTTTTACCCACAGTTTGCAGAAAGTGGAGTAACACACTTGAGAAATGAGAATCATGGTGCTGAGAAGGATTACAGTGAATGTTAGGGCCTTACACTGGCAGAGAGCAAAAATGTAGTGAATGAGGAAACATGGACATATGTTTACTGTTGTGCTGGTTTCACATGATCAGGGCTAGTCCTTTCTCCCTGTCCCGGTTACATAATCGCTTGCATTTATTGCCTAGTAACTATTAGCTGAGGCCGAAAATTTTACTACAAAATAAAACAAATAAAAACTATTTTAATGGCAGGAAAATTGAAAACAGAGGAGTTAGAGCACAACGGTGCCGTACCACTTTCCGATTATTTTCTCGGATTATTGGGCAAGTTTGGCTTTTTTTTTTTTTTTTTTTTTTGCTTCTTTGACTGCCACATTACATTTTGCCTGGAAGCCATCCATTTTGCAGATATTGAATTTCTTTTGAGTGCTATTTTTATACAGTAAGCATCACTACACCTCTGGATCTTGATAGCATTACTACGGGAGGAGAAAGAAGCTTTGTGTTAGTAATTACCTAACATTGTCAGAAGCTGACTGCAGGCCTCTTTCTAGAGATAACAGAATAACCACATAATGTAGCTTTATAGCACATGATTAATAGAAAATAATTACACGTCCTACAAAGGGATGCAATATTTCTTATAAATTGACTGGAATGGTTTCCTGTAGATTAAAGGACTCTTCATTATTTTATCAGTCCTCCCGAAGCACAGTCACTTGCCTGTGTTAGCGGTTTAGTTGATGTTAAGAGCCGAGTAGGGTGAAGGATACCAGATGGCAGACCTTCTTGTACCTGAGATCTCTTGTGCCATAAAGATGACATGATGCTTCCTAACCTTTCAGAGATTTAGATGGCAGCCTGGTATGGTTTTGTCTCTTTGTTTTTTTGTTTAATAACAAGATAAGGCTTGAGGACTGTTTATCTTTTATTTTTTTTTTAATGACCCACCTGTGACTTTTAGAACAATACTATAATTAGTATGTGGATGGTAAGGAAACACTGTATGGATTGCATTATTTCCCACTGTAAGTAATACGTCATTTGCAATCACATTTATTTGGGCACGGGAAACAGGGAAGGCAAAGAGGCCGATTCTCGTCTTCAAAGGGAAAGCTTGTATGGTATTGAATCTTGAGGCTCAAGTTTAGAATACCGTGCTCCAAGAAGCATCTTCATTCCAATTTATAGGCTGCAAATGGTTTAATTGGGATTCATGTTGCTCAGGAGGCTCATACAGAGGATGGTAATGATAAAAGTAAAAGCTTCTGTGTTTGCAATCTTGTCGACATACTCTAATGGCCGCAGTGTAAATCCATAAATTTGCCTCCTAGATTTTTACCTCACTCTATTTTATCTTACCTCTTAATTCCACACAGGAGTATTCGATGGAATTCTTTACACATGTAAAGTAATAAACATTCTGATTTTTTACTCTTTTCTGATTTAAACCTGTGTTATTTTAGAGTATTTTTATGAGCAAATTTCCTGTGCTCTTGAGTTATTTTAAATTAAGTGAAGCATTTAAGATTATTTTAGTCTGAAACTTTTATGTTTCCCTAGAATGTTACTTTTAAGGGATGTGTTTGCAGCTGAATAAGCCCCTCCCTCCTGTTTCCGGCTGTCCTTTCTGTTTAATAAATCTTACCGGTGACCGTCAGGCAGAATTATCTCAAGTGTGAAGTATGTCGTTGGTCCTTTGGTGAAATGATTCTTTGGAAATCAATTTCTTAAATTTGGATGTCAGTGAGCTTTTTGAGAACAATAATATGCCCTTCCTTGAGAGTACAGATTATAACCAAAGCGGAATATTATAAAGTGATGTGAGCATTCTTGTTTGTCACTTGCATTTAAGCCTTGAGCCCCAGATTGAGGGCTGTTCTTGGAAAGCAGATTTGGGTCTTCATATGCCCTCACACTGAGTATGTTCTGTCTGCCTGTTGGGGGCGGGGGGCAGTTCCTTTACTCTTTACAAATAATCAATTTTTAAAAAAATGTTAGACTGGCATTGGCTAAGAGCTTTCATATTCAGACTTACCCTGTTAACCATCCATTTTGAAATCTTACAATGTAGGCCTTTTGCCTCAGGAAGGTTAAATACATTTGTTTTGTGAAGCATTAGGCCCTAATTGTATTCATTGCCTTAAAAATTGAAAAGAGCAGTTTTATTAGGTACCTATTAAGATATAATGGTTGCTAATCATAGCTTTCAGTAAGTTGGTGTTTTCTTCTGATAAATAGATCCTACATAGATTATAGTCACCATCGCTGAGTTCAGGCATCAGACTATTTTCATCACGTAGATAGTTTTATCCACAAAAAAATTCACTCTAACATTGAACTTTTAAACTTAAAATCTTGAGTCCTCTGCCTCATGAGCCAGAGCTGTGCCCTCATTAGAATAGGAAGTGTAAGGTTAGCCTGACCACCGCCCCCCCAACCTTTCCTTCCACCTTATTCTTCCAATAAACCTGATTCTGGTACAACCCACTGTTTAAAAAGCACATATAGATTTTAACCTGGTATTCTCTCTATTGATAGACTACATATCAATACACACATGCTAACATTGCTACATTTGTATTGAGGAATTGTATGATTTTCCTTTCTGATGGTCAATAGCATATACTAATCAGTACAGATGTTAAGTCTGTGCCAGTATGAACATTCCCTCCCCACATGTAACTCAATATGCATATGCACATTTATCTATGACTCAGATGTTGGAAAATCATAACCTATTGAATTACTTTGGGGATTGATTTTAAAAATTTATCTTATATGAAAAATTAAATTTGGGTCCTACAGTGCTTTTGCAGAGTATTGCTTTTGGAAGATATTATTCTTGAAACTTGTAATTCATTTTACTTTGTTTGTATCTCACTAAACATAAATAAATTTGAGATAAAAATACATTAGTCAATCTGGCAGACATATGAGACCCGTTGCAGTGTGTTCACGATTCCTAAAGCAATGGTGCATCTGTCAATGGAGGCAAAGGGGAGAAATGCAGGTATAGGTTTATCTCACATTGCAAAGTAAATGCAAAAGTGACTCATCAATCACTCTTTTTTACAGCTAGATTAATATTTCGCCTTTATAACTTGAGATACTTTATTTCTTATTGATCTTCCCCTGTAAGGGTGAACCTAACACCACCTTCAAATTCCTACCACCCATCCTTTATCTAATGTAGTTTTTGATTAGTGAAAGCTTAACAATAAGTGCCTTTGGGAAGCTTTTTAAAAGGAGCCTTTAAAAATTATCTCATAAAGCAAATATTTTTGGATATTATTAGTGTTTTCTTAGTCCCTCATTTATCTGTTTAAAATATCTATACTCACATATTAGATTTTTCTTAAGAAGGGGCATAGCTCTGCATTCTAAATAATTTTCAGTCATATGAGTTTAACTAGGAATCAGTTTATTGTGAAAAAATAATTCTTTCCTTGCTAGATGATAAGTTTCTTGAAGGCCAAGATCATATCCTAAGGATCTTGGCTGTAACCTTATAGCAAGCATCTGGCACTGGTGTTTGCACAGAAAAGGTGTCTCCCCAGGCTGTGTGTGTGTGTGTGTGTGTGTGTGTGAGAGAGAGAGAGAGAGAGAGAGAGAGAGAGAGAAGGGAGAGAGGGAGGGAGGGAGAAGGGAAATGGGCCTAGGGAGCTGACTTCTTCATGTAGTTCCATTTGCTAGGTTCTTATCCCAAGTGACTGTTTCTGTGTTCTATACAGAGTAATAAACAGGCTTTGTCTTATATGTTAATTTAAATCTTTGCCTAACAGCATTTTTAAGTGTCCAGAAACAAACAGAAAAAGATTAAAATGTTTCAATTTGCAGCTCAAGCTCTTGTAACTTTATAAAAATAAATAACATTTCTAAGAAGTTGCATATGAACGACATTGTACTTATACCAGTCTAAAGGTTAATATTGCATATTGTTTTCAATTAGGAATACAATAGATACGGCTGGTGGGTAGGAGAAATGAAGGGAGCCATTGGCTTGGTGCCGAAAGCCTACATAATGGAGATGTATGATATTTGAGAGTCCTGGGTAAGTACGTTTTAATCCAATATTCTGTAATAGCTCATATGTTCTCTTGGTCTCTGCGTTATGAGTCTTTGCCTTTTAAAAAGTCTTTGTAGTTTTCTGATAGCACAAAGATCATGCTCCCACATCATCATCTTCTTTTTTTAAAAATCTAGTTTAATTTTTAAAATAACTTCATAGAATTTACCTTGGAAATAGATTATTTAGAGAAAGTCCCTTTGCTAATAACTGGATGTTTTCCCAAACCTTCTCCTCTTGAGTAAAATACCACTCTTTCTGGCCTTTCTGAGGAGCTGAATTGACAAAATGTTGAGTAAATATTCATTTTTCCTTGCCTAAAAGTGTATTTTTTTTTTTCTAAGCAGGAAAAATCAACAGTTCGCCTGAAGAAAAAAAATTCAGATGCAGCTTTCCCTTTCTACCTACAGAAAAGGAAGATTCTCCTGCTGGTCTGTAAATGCTTTGGATTTAGAATCATCTTGAGAGCATGAGTGGCAGCTGAAAACCTTTTTGTGTTTTGTTGAACATTTGTCTTTGAGTGTTATTTTATGCATTCATTATAATAGTCCTCTGATATAAAATTAAATAAAGAATACTAATGTAAATTAGAGGCAAGCAGTAAAGTTGTACCTGTTGCTGTTTTGCGAAGAAGTAAATACAGTTTTTATTTACTCATTTGATTTGTGTGAAGAATTCAGCCCGATTTTCTATGTACCTCACAGTCAGTGCTGCTTTCGGTAGGAGTTGTAATTTCTCTTCAGAGTGCATGTCAATTACATATTAGAATGTAATATATAATTTCATGGAAATTTTAATGGAATATATCATGCAAGCTTTTGGTAGATGCTATCTAAAGAATGTGGCTTTGTTAAAACTGTGTAGACGATCGATCATAGTACTGATTTTTCACACAACAGTGACATGTTTTCATGAAAGAATTTTTACTGATTTTTACTTCATGTTAAAGAAAGCCACAGGAAAGAAAGAATGACAGAATTGCAGATGGTAGCGTGCTGGTCCCCGGGACACACGTGCAGCCCAGAACCACGGTGTGCGAAACCCTTTATCAGTAACAAACAGCCCGGTTCAGTGATGGGCTGGCCAACATTTTCCACCACAGTTTTGTTTAAATTTAATAAAATAAAAAATTCATAAAACAGCCCCTTCTGCATCATACAGCATCATAAAGAATCTCAGTGTGTTCTCAAAGTAAGAAGATCTAATGGAGCGCTGTCTTATCCTGCCTGATCATTGCTGGGCTATTAACGTCCCGCCACAAAGTAAAATACAATAAGATAAAATAAAGTCCAACCACACAAAAAAATAAATAAATAAAATAAAGTCCCACCACAAAACAGTAGAACTCCAGAGGTGAGTTTCCTCTGTGCTTCTCAGAGCAATGAAAAGAAAAGGAAGGGCTCAGAGAGGACAGCCTAGTAATCATGGTGGGACCATACACCAACAGGTGAGTGGAAAGGTAGTGTGAGTCTGACTTTGGAGGAATATGCTATGCTGCCTGAGCAAGCTTTGTGCAATTATAACATTACCTTTTCATGTATATTTGAAATCAAAGGGACGGTAAATGCCGACGAGGTATCAGTGTGGCCTTGATATATATATATATAAATGCACTGCTGATTGGATCATTATAGGTTCACCTAATACTGAATTAGTGGGTACTACCTTTGTTGAACTTTCCAGATCTTTGCTTTATAAAGATTCTAGCTGTGAACGTACTGATAATATTTAACCCCCCCTTACTTGTAGAAAACTATAAGCAATATTTCAGAACTTATATTTTACCATTGTCTTCTTAATACTGTGATCATCAGAGTTCAAACGTAATGAAATAGATTTTTTTTAGCTTTCGGGATTGTGGGTTAACTCTAGTTTACGTAAATTAGACATTGTCGAGTTAAAGCTTTCAGAAATTAATTTGTATACTCGTTAATCTTTTCCTAATAGAGAGCCGTTAGGGTCTCGCCAAGAAATCATCTTGGCGAAAGTGAGACAACTGGAGATCAATTTAGTGGTCTTTTTTTTCAAAGTCTGAGAGATTGAAAAGCAAAAAGCAGTTGTGGGTTTCCCCTGAACGTATAGTCTTCGGTTATGGATACAGGTTTCAGGCCTCTGCTTTTAAGTGAAGATTTCAGTGCTGGGCCAGTAGGTGGCAGCAACTTTTCATTGCATACCCAACCCCTGGGCAACCCCTCCCCCACTCAGGCACAAACTTGAGCAGAATGTAAAGCATGTAAAAGATTTTTGCCTCCTTTTACAGTTAATCCAGGAGAGGGAGTCCTTTGCCAACTGATGACCAACAATTCCAAGCCAGATAGTCTCTGTGAATGGTGACAATACAGATATAAAGTGTTAACTCCTGTCCAGAGCTCCTCTGGCCTTTGTTCTTGTTTAACTTGAATATAGGTGGGAGATAAGAAAGGAAACAAAAGATTTAAAATGAGAGTGACAGGAAAAATAATCATTACTTTCAACTCCTGACTACTTTATATTCATTTGGCGAAATCATTTGTATACTACCAGGGAGAAAGTTTTCTTTACACCCTTGACAATATATCACACTCTCTTCAAGATCATAATAATATCATTAATGTGCATTTAAACAACATGGCTTGTTAGAAAATATGCTAATTGCTATGTTCTCATTATGTTTGCTTAGCCTTTATTTGTTTTTCTATGAACAGTTAGAGAGCTAATTTTTTTCAAAGGTGATTGTAAGTCATATTTTATATAGCATTTTGCTCGATTATTTGCTCTGTACTGAATTTGTACTCTATTGCCATTAGATCTTACAATAATGTTCCACTCTGCAAATTTTTAAGGTTCAAATAAAGTTTAATTGTTTGCAAACTGTTATGATGCTAATAATTCAACAGCCTGCTGTGTTACTAATGAAATTACTTTGTTATGATTAATTTGGAAAATAGTGTGTTGATTGTAGTAATTAAGCACAACAAGGTGAAGTAAATGATTCTAATGCCATCTGGCCTCCAAACTGAATGAAGAAATGAAATAGAGCTGTCATCTGAATTTATTCAAAGAAGTAAGGATAATACAAATGACTTTGATTGCTATAGGATTTACACTTAACCACAGCTCACTCCATTCTGTTTTTGCCACTTTGTTGCATGTGACAGTTTCTCTTACAAAAAACAATGTTGCTTAGCCTAGTAATTGTCTTGAACACTTTATATTATTTTAAGTTGACTGTTTTTACCTTGTGTTAATTTAATTACAGGTAATTACATAAAGTATCATAGGATCATAGAAAATTACTTTTCAACCATCTGTAAGTGAAATCTATATACGTGGGGGGTGGGTTGCTATTAGTGTACAAACATGTCGAATATAGCCTTTCATAAACAGTAGAGATTTCATTCATTTGTTTCTAAAGTGTTTCCAGTCAAGATTCCCTCATAGTTCCTATGATTTCTACCTCTCCTGTAATTTCTCCAGTCTAAACTATTGCTATTCACTTCATAGAGGCTAGTACCTTCCAGGGCCATGATCAAACACAGAACCCAAAACTAAGTTCTATAGTAGAGATCCAGATTTGCAGTTGAGCCACTATAAGAAAACTGACCTTAGCATACATACGCATGGTTTAAAAGATTGAACTTCAGGGGTGCCTGGGTGATTCAGTCGTTAAGCGTCTGCCTTCAGCTCAGGTCATGTTCCCAAGGTCCTGGGATTGAGCCCCGCATCATCGGGCTCCCTGCTCGGCGGGAAGCCTGCTTCTCCCTCCCCTGCTCCCCCTGCTTGTGTTCCTGCTCTTGCTGTCTTGCTGTGTCTCTCTCTGTCAAATAAATAAAATCTTTAAAAAAAAAAAAAGTTTGAACTTCATCAGTGAGACTGAGTGAAGGATTTTGAGAATTTTTAAATCAAGAAAAGTACTTCTTAATTTCTAATAAGTCGTTTGTATTTCAATTGAATAGAATTTTAGAGACACAAACTGTATAGAAGTGACTCTTCTCTTGAGTTCAAGAGATTGAAGAGTATTGAAAAACAGTGTATGTGATAAAGAAGGAGGTGGTGGAGATGAAAACATGATCAAGCCATAGAAAACACAACTTGGCTCAGAGGTTGAAGGAATATAATGAATGAATATACGGAACATAAAAACATCTGTTAAAATGGCTTAGTTTGTGAGTAAAATCCCAAGTATTCCAAAATACAGAGAAACAAATCAGGAGTATATTATTATTTTTCTACAAACTTAACCTACCCTCAAATGCATAATTTAAATAGCCCATCCTCTGGTTTGGGAACGAGGAATGTCTAGACATCCTCAGCTTCAACATTCCCATTCACCGCCTTATAGTTGAGTTCTAGAACATCTGTTAGAACCCCTGATTGTATAACATTCTGCTGTGATGAGATAAATGCTCACAAAATTATATGATTACAGTAACATGGAGTGACATTTCATTAATGCTAGGTTTGAAGGGCTTTTTCTTGTTTTCCCCTAGTAGAATCTGCCCTATCATTACTTGGACACAAACATAAGATTTATTGCCAGTGGGGTACTTCAGAGTATATGGTGTGTGTCCAGTAAATATTTGTTAATTAACTGATTTGGCACCCCACCGTATGTCAGGACCTGAAATTTAAGAAAAGAAGAGCTTGACTTCTATACCTGATAGAGAAAATGTCTTTATCAGTTAATACATCAGCTTTCTGAATGACATTCTCTTTGTCAAAAGATCAGTCCCTTTTATTGAGTCTCTAAAGGTGGTTTCACTGTCCCCATAGCCCCATCAACAAGTGGACTGGATTTGGTTGGTGGCAACAGAATCGAGTGAGATGGGGAAAAACAAAGTTGAGCGTGGTGGCTCGTCTTCAGAGGTTTCCTGCCTCTCTCTGCTGGTCGGTGTTGTCACTCTTCTAAAGAAGGCACAGGTAACTCAGCTTGGGGCAAGTGATCTAGTTTCACTTTCCATTACATTCCAAATCACGGCCGGCTTGAATTCCACCTGGCCAATGTCAGAGTAGCCCTCTGATCTTGGAAGCTTCAGCCTTGAATGGATCAAAAAGGAATTTCGGAAAGTGGGAAGTTTCCCACTTGCCGCCAAATCCAACCATAATTCATTTTCTGGGTCTCTTTTTAACCTTTACTCCCTATTTCTTGAGAGTTGTATTATTGTGTTAACTTGAATGCTTTGACTCCCCAAAGTGGAAGGACCCATAAATGTAGAGAGCAGCCTTGGTCATACCAGTGCTCGGCTGAGCCCTGGAATGGTGGGGAGGAGGCTGGAAGCAAATCAAGGCAAAAAAAACTTGTGAATACTTGCAAAGGTGTGAGAATAGAAATCACCTCAAAAGCCCATTTCTTAAGTGCTTTTCTTGACACTGGAACCTTGGAAAGTGTTCTCCTAGGTTGCTCTCCTCACTGTTTTCACTGTCTTATTGTCCGTTACTCAGAGAGGTAGTATCGAATAGCACTTGTCTCTTTCCTGTTTATCAGCCTCAACTTCATAATATAAAAATATCACTCCTGCTAGAGTAAAAGCAGGTGCCATTTTGTAGCTTGAGCGGCAGTTTACCTCTTGTTTGCTCAAAGTGTCACACTGGTACTCTCCGAGGAGAAAATTAATGACACCAGCGTATGCCAATTAAAAATGACTGCTTTAGAGGAGGAAAAAATTCCAACAAATGAGCAGATTCCCATACATTGCCTCCTCTTCCCAGCCCCCTCGGGAGCCCATTT